GGGGGGGGGGGCCGTTGATTAATCCGACGTCGCCATTACATCCATTTTCACTCTGAATCATGGAACGCCCAGGGGATGATGCACGTTTCCATCACTGGCTTGACCTTTCCATCACTGGCTTTCGCAAGTCAGTCTTTTCGCCCAACGCGACTTGCAGGTAAAAGACCAGGAAGAGAAGGGAACCAATGAGTTTTAGCAACCCAGGAGACTCGGATAGAGAAGGGACTTGGAAGTATCCCAGAGACCCAAGACCCGAGTTTCTAAGACCCAGGAGACTTGGATCCCAGGGAACCACTGGTTTTAGAGGAACCATTGAGTTTTAGCATGTCAAATAGCCTTTGTAACCACTATACAGGACCCACAGTGATCAAATGGACACCCAATGGACACCCATCTTTTTGGGGCTATCAATAGAAGCCCCGGTATGGGTGTCTTGGTAGTGGTTACCAGCTATAGTACTTGAATGCCCTGGGACCCCGCTGTCTCCTTGGCCCAGCAGTAGACGTCATATTGATGGCCCTCGTAGAGACCCTGCCTCGGCCGTGCACAGAACCCCTGATTCGACGGCGCGTGCTTCGACTTCCGTGCTCAGACAGGTCTGAGATAGGCGGCGAAGACCATGGTATCTGGAGACCGTCGGTATCTGGAGACCGTCGCTACCAGTAGCTGTTTACCACATTACCAATTACTAACCAATTACATCCAAGTTCTATGCCAGTGACTACCTGGAAAATCATCAGCTGGTGGCTACATGGTAAGGACGCCGTATGGATGCCGTGTAGCTAACGAATTTTGTGGCATTTCTCTATTACTCAGCCACAACCAGATCCTGTACTATATCAGACCTGCTTTGGAGGCTGGCTAGGCAGTCTACGGGTTGCATAGGGCTACCTAATACCTATAGCGGTAAGTAGCTGGATCCACTAGGTACTCCACTGGGTATATGAGGCCTGTTTTGGAGGTGTTGAGTACTGCAAACTGGAAGGGTAGCGCATCAAGCTAAGTTCTCCTCAACAGGTCGAAACAGAACATCTGTCGTTGACTGAGGTCGTCCCTGAGGTGGTCGTTGTCTGACAGATTTGTTTCAGTATAGAATCAACCACAGAGGACGCTGAAACAGGCAGATGTCGTTCCTCCATGTTCCTCCTATCCAAACTAGTATAGCAGCCGTAAGATGCCCTAAGTGCCCCTCCCTCTCATCCGATCTCATCCGATCTCAACCGCTCCCGTCCCGTAACTCGACCCTTCCCGTAACGAGACCCTTCTGGCGCCAAAGCCACGCATCCGTGGACTCCAACGCCGTGATGTCGATCTGCCCGTCGACGCCTGGGCCTGAGGAAGGCGGAGGAAGGAGGCGGAAGGCGAGGCGGCAGAGGAAGGCGTCGCCAATCTGTGCCAGGAAGACCATGGCCGAATGTGAGGCCGACTGATATGCAGTTTCAGGTTTGAGTGGGACAGTTTTTCAGGGTTTGGTAGGAAATTCTCAGGGTTTGGGTGGAAGTATAGATTCAGTGCTTCTTCACAACCTGGGGGAGTCTCCCCTCTATTCATCCATGATGTTCAAGCAACCAACAGTAAAATGCCGTCTATGCGCCATCGGCCCACAGTCATGGCAATTTTCCACACAAACAACTGCAAGCGGATAGCAGCTGAAGAGTCGAGTCTAGGCATCTAGTCTATCCGTAGGTCTATCCGTGATCTAAGTCTGTGTATTATTGTTCGTTTCTATTACCCAAACACTCCATAATATATATATATATATGATATATGCCTACATTGATCTCTGAAACCATCCCAATGTAGGCAAATATGACATACATGGAGTGTCTGGGATCTTGTGCTTTCATGTGTTCTTGTTTTTCTCCCTCTTCACAATCTTCATCTGTACTTTCTTCATCTCGCTCCTGCCACTTCTGCATAGAAATTGGCCGAGAGGATCTGGTTGATGAGCAGTGTGGTCTCGCCTCGTGCGGAGGAAAGGCTCTGCTGAGAGAATCGGCTGAAAGGCTCTGGCACGATAATTGGCTTCTTTGGGTCTATATTACCCGGGCCCAGTGGATGATGATGGTTGGTTACTAAAGGCATCCAAGGGCCTTGTTCAAAAATAGTGATAGTTGTTTACTGACTCTTACAGGTCATGGGACAACCCCCAAAGCTACTGATTTTGAAAGACCCACCTCTTGAAGAGTGCAGGATCTGACCCAAATTGCTCCTGGCACCCAAATCATCGGAGGGTGGATCCGTGGATCCCGTTTTTCCGGGACTTCACACATCTTCACATCTTCACACCCACCTCCTGAGTGGCGAGGTGGAAGTCTTCAGCAGCTACATGGATCGCATGGGCGTGTCTAATAGGGAGACCCACCACCATGCGCGCTCCGACGGGTCCGAGCGTTCAGAATCCTTCGGTTCCGAGCGAGGAGAAAGGTCTATAGGCTCTTCCCTGTTGGGGGTGGCTTCCAACAAGCATCTTTTTTCAAATACCAGCGCCCAACTCTACAGGTCTCCGACATGGAGGCTATTGCGGACCTAAGAGTCGCACGTGGTGACCTGTTGGAGGGTATAATGAGTATAATTTTTCCGAATAACAATTATTGTTAGGAATTTACACTGCTGCACATCAACCTTGCTTTTAAAGGTCTTGGAAGGCTAGGTTGTTTGAGCTACACCCACATGTTGCACGACCCATCCCACTCACGCCCATCCCACTCACATCCTACTACTTCCCCCAACCGCCACCCAACCTCGCAGGTCACGGTCTGACCACCACTTCCCCCACCGAAATGAGGGCGGCCCTCCGCTCCACCCACATGACCCGCGCCCCGCAGGGCGGGCTCTTTGGAGCCGCAGAGTCGGCGGTTCGCTTCTTCCGTGGCCTGAGATGGAGAGGGTGGTGCGACAGTAGGCGGTGCCTGCCTCGTTGAGCTGAAACGTGACCTCGGTGACTGTCTTTCCGCAGCGAGGTACCGTGCGAGGCGCTTTTGGTTTCGGCGGAACGGCGGAGGTACGCGGAGGTAGGCGGAGGTGTTTGTGGAGGAGTGGAGTTGGTTAAAAATGGGAATTGCCTGAATTGACATGACAGGGGGTTTTGGCAATGGTTCTCGGACACTTTCTCTTTCACAGTTATGGCTTCCTTGTCCTAGTTGTTGCTTGTAGTGGGCCATAACAAGACATTGACCTTTCTTTGTCCACTCTTCATCCTGAAAGATGAAATACACAACTGATGGGAATCCACCCCGCCACGGGGCACGGAGTTTCGCCGGCTTTATCATGTCAGTTGCCAATCTCGGTATATCATCAGAAGCAGCTACATGTGCTACCACGGTTTGTTTGGTGAGGCCTATCCCCAGCAGTGACAGGGGTCCCACTCCGCATGGCATGCGCCAATGCGGCTTGGCGCATTGCCCGATTGGTTTGCCTCCTGGTGACCAATCTCTTTCTGTTTGAACACATCAGCTCAAAAAACTTGCAATGCAAAACTCCTTCTTTTCCTCAACCTCTGCTACTTCTCTCCTTTCACCTCACTCCAAACTCCGCTTCCAAGGACACCCAAGGACTTGATAAATCAAACTCACTATCAAACCCTCCTAGTGTCTCCTAGCGTGCAAATGACTCCAACATCTTCCGAAGTGGAGACTTCTTCAACCACTTCCAACCACTTCAGACCTCCTCTCCTGGTCTCCTCCTGTGTGACCTCTCTCTGAATTGATCTCTCGCTCCAAATTGGCTCGCTTTCGCTCCGGTCCCGTCTGGCCAGGGAGTCTGGACTCGCTCCGGTCGCCGAGATCACCTCGCCAAGCCACCGAGATGACATCCGTGGGGTCGGTGATCGCCAACTTGGTGAAGCTCGGCGGCGTCTCCTCAGCACCGCTCGCGACCGGTCCGCCAGGTGAAGTCAGAGGTCGACAGAGGTTTCTTGGTGACCAAGTTGGTGGATTGGTTGATTGGTTTGTGGGTTGTGTGATACGTATGTATGGTTATTGTATGATGATGCGCTGGGAAGTTTTGCAGTTGTCCAAGTCAGAGATGCAGCAATCGGACCTTGTGGCCACAATTGGGCACTCATTTGAACTGGAATATACAGGAATCATGATGGCAATGATGGAACGAACTTGGAATCAAACATGCTAACTTGTCCGATCTTAACCACAAACCATCGGAAAACACATGATATGATCATCTGATCTTTGTTGGACATCTAATCCAACCCCGTGTTCAAAATCGAATCAACATACTCAGGAACCATGTCGAATCTCCATCCTTCACAAGCTATCTGCTTTCGCCAGCTTGGTCCATCTGGATCGGGGCACGACGCACAGATCGTCGCGCCACTATGTGCTTAGATGTGCTGTCGATGAAGCGGAGAAACAGCATTTCTCCGCACCATAGTCTCTTTCTCGCGACTAGCCGAACAAAAAAGAAATCATCTCCCCATTCCAGGCGAGATTCATACTCACCCTTCTTCCGCAAAAATAACCTGTGCCGAGGCTCGTCCAAAGTCTGAATGGTGCCGATCTCCGTCCACATGGTGTGGACGTTACTGCGGCCATGTCCAACAAACGCAGCGGCCGACGTCGGCTGGGCAGCGTTGTAAACATATATGATGTACCTACCAGGACCCCCTAAGGGGTCCAATAATAGCTCCTTAGAGGTTAATGGGTGTCTGTTAACCACCCCTTAGGGGGTCCTGGTAGAGCCCGGACTTCGAGCAAGAAGATCTCTGGGGACATCTCTAGGTACATGTCCGAGCAGAGGGGGTGCAGTGTTGTAAACAATATGATGTACCAGCCCGGACATGACCTCTGTTTTGATAGGAAGTATGGGTGGTGGGTGGTCAACGACAGAGGTCACTCATGCACCAGGTAAATACTATACAACCTGTTGTCTCAACATTCTTTAAGCACCAGGTGTTGTGGTATTTTCGTGGGGCCTGATCTTTGAACAGTGGGAGCAGTCATATCAAGGAAAATGGTCGATACCGCTCATAGTGGTGGTAAGCCCATCGCTTCAATGGTCTCTTTGGGCAGCCGTGAAGTCTTCATCGTGGCTGTACCAAAACCTGACGATCTTTAGCTTCACGTTGCTCCAAAAAAACATGTCCGATGATGATTGACACTCCCTCAGTTTCCCTGGAAAAAAAACAGGTTATCCTTTAGTGGGGAAGCCAATCCCCAACAAATCGATAAAGGCCAAGGTTATTTATCCACTGACTAGTATATAAACAAAGGTTTGCAGAACCCCTCGTGATTCCACTCAACTGGTGCATTGAAGTCATGAGGGAAGCACAGCAAGTGAACAACCTTCCGCAGAACTGAAGAAGCCTCGTCCTATTGAAGATCCAGCCAGGGCAATTCCTTCCCAACAGAATGTCTGCCATATAACAAGACCTCCGCGTCACCCAAATCACCTGAGCATCCTTCCACATCAACGTGATGAAGATCCGGCCACTGATGAGCAACGAGAGGAGAACCGAACCTGCCAACCTGCACCAAGCTGCCCATGCTAAGCGCTGGATGTTCCACCCCATCGTCTCTTCCGCCCGGTGCACGGCCCGAAGCTCCTGGGTCCAGTGGCGGCCGAGTCGAAGATCATCTTGTTGGGCGTGAGCTCGTCGTCCTGCGTGGCGAGCTGAACGGGACGTCCGAGCTGTGTAGGGCTGTCAAAAAGATGTCGAACAGAGAAGAAACCGATCAGAATCAATGAAAACTGATGACCAATTCCCCAGATTTAAGCCCCCCAAAACGCCAAAATCAACATCACCATACATCATACATCACCATACATCGAAAAAAAACAAAAGAAAAGGCATCCCACTGGCAATTCGGTGAATGGTAGCTGAAAACATCCGTTGAGAAAGGAGTCCGTCCTTCAGAAAGGATCCAGGAAGGTACCGTCAACGATTCGGTCGATGCTTGTGGATGCTGGTTGATTCGGCCGTCCGTATACGGAATCCGAAGAGATGGCACATGAGTGGAGGTTTCGGGGCACGGAGAAAACAGCGCATGTCGAAAACATGGTCAACGAATTGCGGTGCGGTGAAACAAAAGTCAGATCCAAAGGGCCGATGCCGATCTGGGGGGCTAAGGCTTGGCTCAAAAACCGCCACCTGCACGGGCCGATCTGTTGGAGAACAACTCCGTCTCAGACCTGATGATCAGACCACTGACGACTGATGGGCCGGTGGATCAAAAACAGGCTGACTCTGAACACGTCCGGGTGCTCGGCACCCGTACACAGTGTCGACTGAAAACGGCTCGACCAGTCGATGCTGAGTAACTCTTAGCTGTATGCCATGTGTGGATGTGACATGATGTGTCGACTGAAGGAGTACATCGACCAGCTGCTCTTCAGAAATCCTTTCAAACTCCAAGAAGTCGAACCATTAACTCCCAGAAGTCAAACTGCAGGAAAGCACCACTCTTTGGGGAAAGTCTATATATATATACGATACCTTCTCGGATGCCGGGACCGACCTTGGCGACCCTTCTGAAAACCACCTCCTTGACAGATCTAAACAGTCTCTCCCTTCTCATTGGACGAAAACCTCATCTTCCCGTCTTCCAAACAGTTCGTGTGCACAATCCTCAAGGGCAGGAGGAGACGTGTGGGCTGGGCAGTATAGGCAAACTATAAATGAGAGATATCGGGAGTCGCTCATTTTTTCACCAACAGACAGTGCCCCCATCTTCGCTCTTTTTTCACGCTCTTGCCGCGCATCGAAATCGTTCATCGCTCGCCTCGCCCAGAAAGCCCGGCCTCGGCGTAGCAGTAGATGTAGGGATAATCGGTTTCTTCCGTCAAGCCGCTCACGATGATGTCCACATCCCTCAAATACTTCCAATTCGTCGCCTGCGTCCGGAGGTCCGGTCACGAAACATGACGACGGTCGACCGCACGCAACTCCGAAGCGATGCCAGGGGCCCAATGGAAGGTCCAAAGCGGAGTACAAAGCTTACAGTGCAAACATGTGCAGGCTACAGTTATGGGCCGACTACAAGGTGTCCCTACAGGTGAAAGACCTCATTTGACTGGACGTTTGACTGGGTCTTTGGACTTGCAGGGTGTGTGAAATTTACCATTTCACACCATGTTCCCTTGGCCCCGGTCATCTGCTATAGCATAGCTTAGAACCACACTACGTAGGCCTAAAGGATCTCCAAAAGACCGCGTCCGGCCCCGTTTTCTGGCTGTAAGGATCTGAGACCGGTAAGAATCCTGGAGTAGATCAAGATCGGACATTCGATTCCCAATTACACTCCCGAAAACTAACATAGACCCTGACGTCCTGGTAACCTGGAAGATTGTTTTCCAGGGTCCATGTTAGTTTTCAGGGGTGTACCAATGATTGGAACATCTCCAAAATCAAGTGCACAAAAGACATGTGCCCAATGAAGATGATGAGCAAGACCATGGCCCTGTGGATGATGGGGCCTATAGTTGCAAGACATCCCAACTGAGCCACACCGAGGGACACACCCGAGGAGCTGCTGAATTCGTCCACTCGATGTTCGGACGGATCATGGTCCCAAATGGGAGGTGGTACCAGCAGCACCACCCAGGAGACGGGTGTTTGAAGATTAAACAAGAAAAACATGCACCTGAAGGCCTGAAGATAATGCATACCACATCGGGGTGGTTTCAGGGGTCAATGTATGTAAATATGCCGATATGCCATACATGGAGTGTCTGGGCTATATATTCCATCCAAACACCACCCAAAATGAGTGGTGCTGGCAGGAACCACTTTATTATGAAAACAGCTGCAAAGGGGGGAATTGCATCCAGCTCTGATCATTTTCCGTCATGAGCAAGAACATCCGTTTTCTTCATGAAGATGCGGACCTTGCCAAGTGCCGTGGCCATTTCCACAGGTCTTCAGCTTCCACAGGTCAGACATTGCAATAGGAGACCCCCTGGCCCAATCGTTTTGGTCCTGTTTCCCTTCTTCCAAAGGTCCAAATTTACACCACCCCCATCTGTCTTCGGTCCGTCCTAACGATTCCCCGAAAGCCCCTCTCCGCCCTGGCGGCCGAGCGGACCACTGCGCCTCATACTCCGCGCGGCTGGCCACACCGTCATCTGCGTTGATGACATCCACAATGTCGTCCTTGGTTTCGCATGAAGATGGACAAACATACCTGGACCTTCAAGGGGTGTCCTGTCTGGAGGTCCCTTAGTAGTGGGGCTTCCAGCCAGGTGACACCTTTGAGGGTGCTGGTAGATCACCGGCCAGGTCCAGGTGAACCTACCAAGGTTTTGGAGCTCCAGGGTTTGACCGCCCAGCAGCAAGCAGCAAGACTAAGTCCAACCCGGCAAGTGCGGTAATATTGGATCAACTTTACCTGACTTCTCATACTTCTCTATTGGAGTTGATAAATCTTAGCAGAACAGGGCAAGTTTCTGAGATTTTGAGATGACCCCACAAAATCCGCCTATAGCAGCTTTGTCACCTCTTGAATTTGCATGTTGTATACATCCCGCAAAGGGCTCCAACTACCTCCTGTGAAGGTGGTTAGGGTGGATTTTGGGATCTAACCACCTTCTGAGGATATGTTTGTCATGAAATGCAATTGAACTCACTTGACTCCAGCCCAGTGGGTGATTGCTTCTCTCGCTTCCTCTTCGAATCGCCCAACAGGACGCCATGAACGCCAGCCGCGGTCTTGGCACTCATTAGTCAGCCAAAGAACCCAAGGATGACCCTCGAACCCATCGCGTTTTTATGCGTTTTTGTACAAACAGGTGGTTTGCCACTTCCATGATCATGTGCTATTTCCTCCACTGGCACCCTCTGAGGTACCGTGATGTGTTCGACACTGTGGCTAGTGCCAGCGCCAAAACGTCGGGTCCAGTCAGTCCCTTCTCCCTCGGTTTCGGTATGATTCGATCCGGATCGAAGGAATCCATGGATACGTGGAGGGAGTGAGTGAAAACCACCGACCTGGACGTACGTAACAGGAACGCAATTGGCCATTGAACGATGGGTTCATCCTGAAGTTCGGGCCATTGGAGATGGGTATAATACTCATTAATTACCTTTGGGGAGTTACACTGTGACTCAAATATAACCGAAGAGTCGAACACCAACTCCCCGTTTGAAGAGGAGTCAGTGTGCCTTTCCGAGGGATCAAGTTCAAAATAAGATCTTCGGACAAAGGACACACACACACAGCCTCGCCGTGAAAGAACTTTTACCAAGACTGACCAAGACTCCATGTCAAAAACAGTAAGAACAACATGTCAATCAAAGACTCCATGTCATTGTTCTAATTTTTCATGTCAATCAATGTTTAAACCACAACTCCAAATGTCAAAAAACTGTTTCAACAAACAAACATGTCAATCAATGTTTAACCTAGACTCCATGTCAAAAACTGTTTAAACAAAAAACATATCAATCAATTTGTTTAATCAAGACTCCATGTCAGAAACTGCAAACACAAGCATGCCAATCAAATATTTAACCAAGACTCCATGTCATAGACCCAGAAGGTTCCACATTGGTTGCCCAGGTTGTCTGAACCTCAGCAATCGGATTCTTCGAAGCTCGTCTTGGTGGTCGAAGGCATGCCAGTCATAGAAGTCAAATAGTGGATTTCGACTTGATGTTGCCCCGCTCGCCGGTGAAGTTAAGAAAACATTTCCCGAAATCAGGTATACCCTAAAGACTCGAGTAAAGACCAGTCACTTTAGAGTGTTAGAACTCTCAGGATATGATTCTGTGGATCTTGTTTTTGTGACGCGGAGTGAAAAGGGAACTTTGGAGCTGATATGCTGGAAGATATGCCTTTGAAAACTCAATCGTGAAAAATCAATCTCAACTTTGAAGAAACGGTCATTATGCTCATTCTTCATCTGTTTGCACTCAAAAACTCTTCCTGCAGGTCTCCCATGTCTTGTTTCGTGGTACGTGACCCGTGGCGCCCGTGCCGTGACCTGTGACGAATCCGAGGAGCAGGTGCCAGCTTCAGCCTTGATCCGCACTTCATAATCCTGGAGGAGCCGGAGGTTTTGGGTGAGAACTAGGACCCCGGAAAAGCTGGTGTACCCAACTGGGATAGTCTAGTTCGGGTCCTTCAACCTCTGTTGGAGCTTGCGGACTTTGCATGAAAAGAAACTCAAATGAACAACAAAACGGTTCTTGTCGTGTGAGGCGCAACTCAGTCAGTCTGACCTTAAAGTCTGTCAGTGACCTCCAATCATTGAGTACATACATCGGAAGTGACCATTTTTTCCCGATGGGGATTCTGCCAAACATCTAGTGGGGCACTGGGCATTGGGCCGACCCACTTAGTTTTAGTTTGTTGGTGACTTGACTCTACTTGCTGGTGTCACAGTCTGTTTGTTGTCCCCTACACCGACTTCGTCGTACCTCTTCAGCTATGTGGACCCTCCAGACCCCAAACCCCTTCGAAACGGTTCGGTACGACTGGAGGCCTAGGGGTCTAGTCTAGTTGTTGATCATTGTTGACTGTTGATATAGCATGGAGCAACACCTGCCGCTCATAGCCTTCTTGTTGACTGTGGACGGCACGAATTTCCTGTTCCATCAACAGGCCGAACCTGCAACGAAGCGAAGCGAAGTCCTCCCAGCTCCTTCAGTCAAACCCGACCCTCTACACCGCTCGAAAACAACCGGGGAGTCCCTTCCAAGCACGACCAGCTGGACCTGGGACTGGCATATGAAAAACGATCAGGCCCCTGAAATCAACCACCCCCAGTTTCTGATGTCGGGTTTCATCTTGATCATGCCCAGTCCCAGGTTCTCCCAGTCGTGTGGAGCGGACTTCCCAGCTCCACCCGAACCCACGCGCCGTGGACTCCCCGTGGGAGAGAACCTCCGAACCGCGAGCAGCCACGGAGCCGCGGGGGGCCAAGCGTTGTGCCGACCACCCGCCGATGATCGCGCCGATCGCGGTCGCACCGCTGCCTGTGCCGTGGCCGACAACACGGGATCGCTGCTCCAGGCGGCACACCACACTTTCGCCCCTTCGTCCACCTGAGGAAACGAAGCCACGGAGCGGTCCACGGTCCGAGGTGCGGGCAGGAGAGACCGCGGGGCGTGGTGAACCATAGCTATGAGCGGTCCGAGGTCAGAGGTCTGGGGAGGAGAGACCGCGGGGTTTTAGGGGGGCGTGGTGTTAACATTGTTAACCATAGGTATTACCGAGCATCATGCATTGAAAACCGAGTGAGACAGCCTGGTATACCGTGTTGGACATGATGTTGCATCAGAACGGATTGAATGTTGGAACCGGCATCCAAATGATTTCAATGATTTTAGAATATCTTAGATGCTGATGTTGTAATCTTTGCAATCTAGCATCTAAACTCACCTGGTGAACTGACTGGCCACTTGGTGGAGGATCAATGACCAAGACTTGGGGGGATGTGGGGACATGCCACAAGCCTGCAAAAGGAGGTTTGCAGGACAAAGTGTTACTGGGTCAAACCAATGTCCTCCTCCAATTTGTCTTTCAACCGACTCAATCATGCATACCTCAAAAAAGGATTTCTCCTCATGAATGTTCTAATACCATATTAACACCACCAGGTAAAACAACAACACCAGGCTCTGCTGAACACATAGTAGGCAGGTCACCGCTCGGGAGTCGTGAGCGAGTCGCCGTGACACCGGAAAACGGGGTTCACTAAACACGAAAAAAAGGTCTTGGATTTGCTCCCCGGAACCAGGAAAAAACAAACACAATACAAAAAGAATCTTCCCAGGAAAAATCAACAATCACCTTTTACACCAAAAAAACAGGTGGTACACCCACTCAACGTCACTACCCTCCTCTTTCCGCCTGGAGTGTGATGATGATCTGGTCATGAGCAATGGACTCTGCAGCGATGAACCTGTGAGGCCGCCAATCACATGCATGTTCTTGGCACTTGATGCCTCTTGATGCCTTGACAACAGAACTGGCTAGAAAATGTGACTGTCATCGAGTTGGCACGTGGATGCACCTGCCCCAACAAGCTTTAGCTCCATGCCTTCAAAACCCAAGAATGACCTTGAAAACCATCAAATTGCGAACCAGTCCCACAGCATCACCCTGATGTCCTGGATGACAACCCCATGACAGGCCAAACAAACGCCACAAACCAAACACCTCTTTTTTGGTCACATACATTTCCCAAACAACAACTCGGTCCTGCCTTGAATTTTTTGCTCATCTTTCTTACGAAACTCCGCCCAAAAAACACTTACAAAACCCTCAGCTGCTCCAGATTCCCCACCACCTCGTGGTGCCACCGCCGGCCACTTCTCCGGTGGCCTCATCTCCGGCGGCGTCAAATCCAAGGTTCTCACCTTCAGCTGGTTGGCCGAGGTGCCTGGAGAGACGACCCGAAGCGAAGAGCGACTGCGTTTGGGTTGCACCAATCATTTTGTGCGTTTGGGTTTCAAAGGGCTGCCCGATGTAAGATGCATCTAGTATAGGAAAAACCACGGCGTTGATGTGCCATTTGGGTTGGAAAGACTTTCAATATTTGGTTCACTGGTTCTCACTGACCTTCGATAATTTGTCCACAAACTTCGTAAACTCTCTGACCTTGAAATACTTGTCCACTAGCTCTCTGACCTTCAATAATAACTGGTCCCCGAACTTTCGAGCCTTGAATAAGTGGTCCACTACAACTCTCTGACCTTCAAAAATTGATCCATTAATTTCAATGACTTTCGATAATTGGTCCACTAACTTTCGGACCTTCAACAATTGATCCATTAGCTCTCTGACCTTCAATAGTTGGTCCCTGAACTTAATGATGTTTTCAGTTTTTCAATCGAAAATTATGTTTTTGACTTACCTTTTCTATTGAATATTCACTCGAAAAAGGTAAAAATCAATACGTTCTAAAATCAATATTTCTATTGACATGTTTCAATCGAGGATGCTCTGGGTTGGAGAAGTCGTGAAGTACCACAAACCATCTCGAAGCCTTCCAAGCTCCTTTTCATCAGCACCGTAGAAAAGTCGTTCCTGCTGACATGCCTGCGTGATTGAAATGCGAACGAGAAATCGCCAATTGAACTGAGTCATGGAAGTGATTAACGTCAGAGAGTTGTTGAGTGCCCAGGCGGAACAAAGTTCCTTTCCAGTTTATTTTGTGATAATTTGATTTACTGTATATGGGTGTTGATCTAAATTCCTTTATCTGGGATCCATCATTCTTAGCCACTAAAAAATGTATTTTAGCCAAACGTTCGCCTTCCTGCGTTTTATCTTTCGCCGAAGTATGTTGTATTTATGTTTGCCATGTATGTTGTATGATGGATATCATTTTTTGATGTCAATGGCTTCTTCTTTACTGGCAGATACGAAATAAAAACTTCACTGTTTGTCAGCATGTGTCTTCTACTTAGCTTTTGACACCCTGTACGTTTATTTTGTTTCTCCTGGGTGTCTGCAAGAATCAAAAGTTGCAAGAATCACTGTTGCAGCCGGTCGCTCAGACTTACTCACAATGAGCTGGGGGTCAGATGTGGCAGGGTGAACTTTCGCCAATCTTGAGCTGAACTTTCGCCAAATTTTTGCCTTTTGCGGGGTAGAGTTTTGTGGCAGAGCCACCCCCCAAAGCAGCAGTAGCAGTAGCAGTAGGGGTGGTGGTAGTAGTAGTAGTAGTGGTAGTAGTGGTAGTAGTGGTAGCGGTAGTAGTACTAGTAGTAGTAGTAGTAGTAGTAGTAGTAGTAGCAGCAGTAGTAGTAGTAGTAGCAACGGCAGCAGAAAGAACATCTTTAATTAACCATATCTTTCGCCCCAAAAAAAACTTACTTTCGCGAGCTCGAGAAAAAACTTTCGCCAAATGAGGTTTTGGCATGTTCCAGGGTCATCGTCAACAACGCTACCTATAAGGACCTTTAGACCAACAGCCATATAGTTATACCTGGATCCCGAAACACTGTTCTTGTGGTCGTTTTGAAATCACCCATTTTCCGAGGCGTTTGCCAAAAATACGGTCGCTTCACAATGCGGCTGACAATGCGTGCTTTATCATGCTGAATGCAGTCTCTTGTTCGTCAGCTCTTTTGCTGAAAAATGTGAAGCATCACCCTTTAGATGAAATTAACGCACTTCTGTGCGTGTCGACACCACACATCCTGCACTCCCTCAAATACTGTGCGTGGATTGCTTTTGCGGCCGGCTCGGGCGCACCAGTGACGGTGGCCGAGCCCTTCTCCTCCTCGTGCTTTGGCGTCCCCCCTTCCTCTAGGCCAGTGGCGCTGACGCGCGACCAAAGGCTCTGCTTGTTGTCGGTGTTCTCAACGAGGATGATGTACTCAGGGGGGATGACATCGATGGTCATAATGCCTCCGCTACGATTCTTGAAGAAGATCAGGCCGTCCTCAACAGCTTCTTTGGAGGCAATGGTCAGCTGGATAGAATATTTCCCTCGAAGACCACTCTGGTAGCCGACGTCGCTGATGCGGCTCCCCGAAAGATAGACGTGAGCTCTGTCAGAACCGACGAACTCGCCGCCGCCAGGAATCAAGCCCTGATGACACAGGGGCCCTGCAAGGATGACACAGGGGGGTGTATGTGCGGCGGCAACAAACAAATTGAGCCGAGAGTCTTGACAAGCTTCAAGTGAGGCGCATGACTTGGCATGCATCAACTCTGGGGTAGGGTAGCCGGGTAGCCAGGACCCACCGCTGCCGCTGCTTTTGCTTTGGGTGGAACTCTCCGCGGCAATGCTTCGCATGGTCTTTGAGACCCAGCTTGCCCTGGCGGTGGACCTATGTGTGCGCAGCCTTGTAGTTGTAGCATGTCTGCGGCCCACTGGATGTAGGCTCCGCCAGCAGCACACTCACTCGGACATACAAGAACATACAAGGGGTTGTGATGTCGATGACAATGTTGTGATATCGACATGATTGCTTCTAGGATTGCTGAAGTCCCCGCAGAACCCCCCGTCCAAAGCCAAAAACTGGTCTACTATCTCTCTGACCTTCAAGAATTGGCCCACTAAATCTCTGACCTTCAATACTTGGTCCACTGGCTCTCTGACCTTCAACAATTAGTCCAGTAAATCGCTATAACCTTCAAAATCTCTGACATTGAATATTTGGTCCAAACCCTCTGACCTTCAATATTTTTTCCACTAGCTCTCTGACCTTCAATAATTGGTCCACTAAATCTCTGACCTTCAATATTTGGTCCACTAGCTCTCTGACCTCCAAGCATTGGGTTACTAGCTCTCTTATCTTCAATAATTGGTCCACTAGCTCTCTGACCTTCAATATATTCCAAACCTCAAGGATAGAAGAACTTCCTGAATATGCAGAATTTACATATTCTTTTTGAAACTGCTTTCGGCGATCGCGCAAAAATATTAAACACAAAAAAGTAGAAGAAAGGGGTTGAGCCTGAGCGTCAAAGAAGGGTTATATAGCTACTCTTTCAAGAACCACTAAATATGGCCTAGTATCTATTATCTTCTATTTGAAACCTGTCCTGTGAGGTTCATCTTATAATTGAAATTATGTTTGTTTTGGATCTTCTATTTGATTTCATTTTCGCTCCATGCAGATTGTTTTCTTCCTCGCCGGTCCGTTGTATCAGCACTGCAAATGGCATCTCTGGGAAAGATGCAAGCATTGATAACTAGATACAACAAATAGATAGATTTTTTTTTGCCCAATGGCGAACGCCTGCGACAAGTCATGCTTAATTACAAATTACGTGCAAACGTCAAGCCGCGTCTGTCGGCAACAATCTGGGCCCATAGGAGCGTCTACATCAAACTTGGCTGTTAATTGTTGAACAGCCGTCAAAAACCAATCAGGTAGCTCCAGGGCCATCCCCTTAGGGGCTTTGGCAACAAAAAGGGAGGCAAAAGCTTTGCACAAATCATCTGGGTACTCTTTCAGTACCGAAGTCCTCCACTTGCCATCTTCACCCCTTCCAATGCGTCCGCCAGATGGAAGACAGGTGGTACGCATTTGGCATAAATGTCCTTCCACTTCATCAACCGTTCCACAATTAGCGAAAAGGAGGTCAGTCGGTTTTGGGGAGAGCCCGCCATAGAAACCTTGAAAAATTCAAAGCTTGACACATCCAGGGAAACGAAGGAGACAGCGAATCACCTCTAAATACCAGATTGACGGCAATCGTGCGTCATCATCAGGGCAGGCCGGGTGTTCGAGGATCGCAAGTGTCCCCGTGAGAAGAGCCACCAAGAAAAGTCTGAGGGTCACTCCCAATAGTTGATTCCCTATCGAGACTTGTTCAGTCTCACGGCGAGTCAAAAAGGGTAGGCCCTGCAGGCGTTCACGCGAGCGAAGGATTCGTGGTCCATCCTCATCGTAGGCCCTTGCCCTGGACCACGTTTCACACGGTGGTCCAGAGAGGAAACCAGAAAGGATTCGCTCATTCATAGCTCTCACAAAAAGGTCAAACGTTTCAGGCTTCAGCAAGTTCCCCCATGTGACATCAAAAATGATGTCGACCGAAATCGCCATAGCCTGCAGTGCTTCAACATGCTGCTGAAAGTCGCCTGTTCGGCGAGCACCGGAAAAGAGGTGAGCAAAAACCTTAGGATGATAACTCACATTTTTCGGTAGGGGAGCATGGAGCTCATGCAAAAGCTCAGCTTCACGTCTAAAAAATCTGGTCGTCGATTCGTTGCTGATTGCTGACAAAGAAATTCCGGAAAGCAACCACTCAATGTCGGCAAGGTGTCGAAATCGAGTACACGCAGCAAGAGTTTCCAGGGTAGTCGATTCACTCAATTGCAAGACCCAGGCATCAAAGGCCGCATGGATTTCTTCGAGGTAGAGGTATGTCGTTCTGGTGACAAGCCTCAAGCCCTCTAAGAGCACCTCAGCCGACTCTGCTTCCTGAAGCATATCACTCCATCGTCCTTGTAGACGTATGACTTCCTCTTCAGCCACAGCTCCAGCAGGCATCGGCTCGGGACATTTCGGTCCTTCCGCCTGCATATACGGCAGTCGAAGAGTTGTTCTCTGTCGTCTCTCACTGCGACTATTCACAGCTGGTTCACGGCCGACCACAATGCCTCGTTGGCGGTAGAACTCAAAGCAAGCTCCACCACGCTTGACATGATTCAGCAAATCTGAGTGGAGCTCATAGTGCTTGAGACAATGCTCACACTGCTGCCCGGACACAAAAGTCCTGGCACGGTTTGCCCTACCATGCTTCTTGAAGGCATGGACCGCCATATGGGCTTTCTTTGCAAACATCTTTTGGCAGCAAAGGCAACAGTATGTGGTCACCGGAATGGCCGGTCTCTCATATGGTACAATCTGTGCCTGAAGCAACCTATCATTCACGGATATCATTGTGCCATTGCATCCATTCCGTATCAAGTGCTTG